TATTTATTTTTATTTTATTTTTTTAGGTGATACAAGTGCAGTTTATTCCTGGGTTTTAAAAAATAATTGGACTTTAGCATTTTTATTAGTTGTATTTTCATTTTTTACAACTATTTATTTATTGAACCTATTTATTTCGTTACTTGGAAACGCTATTCATGCAACGTATAATGAAGAATCTTTTTTTCAACTAAGAGGAGAGGTAAAAGATTTATCTATATATTCTAATTATAATTTAAATTAGGCATCTCCCACGGCCCAAAATTTTTTATACTCATTTGTGTTAGGGTTAGGGCCTGTGCTAAGAGCGATGTTGGTGGTTTTTAATAGCAAAATCGCTCAAGGAAAACTTTTTGTTAAAAAAAAAAGGTTCCTATCGCTATGCAAATTTTTGAGGGATAAAAGAACGGACGTCTTTCCTGATCGTGTTACGTTACACGAAAATAGAGGCTCGCTATTGGTTGGAGAGATATACTGTATCTTCCGTGTAAGATATATCTCCCGGTGGGAGATGCCTAGATGTACCCTTTAAATTATTAATAATTTAAATTATAATTTAAAGAAATTGTTATAATTGAATAATATTATTGTTAGATAATAGCTGAAATCGAACTTTTTTTGATGTTGCCCTATCAAAGAAGAAAGAAAAATTGGTTTCCGGAAATTTTGTAATTAATTAATTATTTATTTATATTGTAAATATTATCTCTATGCTAACATGTAATTTAAATATTTAGATATTATGAAGCTTCTATTTATGAACTTAAAGACTATGTAAAAAATCTTAAAAATGATGAAATTTTACAGAATTTACTTCCAGCAATCGAAAATATTGTTGAAGAAAAAGAGTCAACTAAAGGCACTGCTAAAGACTGGTACTATGGCGACATGGCACCTTAAAATTAGCCAATCACAATTTTGAAATATAAATAATAATTTTGTCATTAAATGATAATGTTAATTACTCTTGATTTTTGCATGATTTCGTAGTTTTTTTCCATTTTAAGGGTCTTTTTTTTTTTATAAAAATTGTCCTAATAAGGCACATATATTTGACCGATCCAATGTTAAAAAAAAAATGTTTAATTTTAAACCTTTGATGTACAGTACTTGCGAAATATATTATGTATCTAAAAATGTATGCAAATATCTTTGCTCGTCAAAATGCTATGCTAATCAGTGTGCCAATTTATTAATATATAGTATTATTCATGGCACTGCTATCTATCTTTTTTAAAAAAAAAACATTACTTGAAGAATTTTAATAAAATTAATTGCAAGTATATAATTCTATTTTTTAAAGTAAATTTCCTAAAATCCATATATGTTTTTGAGCGGTTTCTAAAGCCTATTTTATAATATAGTGAGTATGGGTTGGAATGATAATTATAAGGATAGTAACCGAATTGTCCGAATTGCTCATGGTTGTGGAATGTTTATTACTTGGTGGTATGAAAAATATAGTGTCAAAAAAAAGTTATAATACCATGTGTTTAATATGTTTAATATTATTTAGCATCCTATTTCCGCTGTCAATTTTCATTGTTAGATACTACAAAGTAAGTATTATACTGTATCAACAATTTCATTGTCATAGTAAACATTATAACAATAAAATAAAAATTTCTTATCCAAATAGAATCATCCTCTGCATCTTAAAGCCCACCGATTTTTACAGATTATGGGTGGTTTTTCTATCTCGGCTTTTGGGTGTCTAGCCATGGCCACCTTTATAAACCACGCTAATCCACATTATTGGTATTTTTTTCTTTTATTTTGCTCTAATCTAAAATTATTTGTTAACGTTAATCAAATACTGTTTACAAATTCAGGGTTGCTTTAACAATTTTTACTTTGTCATACGCCATAATAAGTAATAAATGAAAATTTATTTTTTAATCATAAAATTCTAGATGTTAATCGATTTATTTTATTTTTTTACTAGGCTCTGGTCTATTAATTACATGGGGACAAAAAGCTCTAGTATCAATTAACAAGGTATTTTGAGTAAGTACATACATACTTACTATATATTATGCACTAACTTAAATTACTATTTATATCAGGGTTATCCAAGATTTATAAAACGTTTTCATAAATTTGCTGGGGTTACACTAATATTGTTATCATGGTAATAATCAAAGATGTTTAATATTGATTATTTGATTTAATGCATTCTATTTTCAAAGAAAAGTAAAATTGATATAATGTATGACAAGTTTCGGTTTATTGAATTATATAAGAATCATATGATATATATTATACATATACTGTATGACTTATCACAATTTTCCATATATGTAAGGAATGCATTTCATCAAATAGGCCATCAGGCTCAGGCATAGATAATTAATGGCTTCTTTTTTCCTAAGTTATACTGTATTTATTAACACTATACATTTTATTCAATTAATTAATGTAAAAAAAAAAACAGGGGTAATATATATCTAGGTAAGCAATTTATATGCATACATAATCCGATTTATTCGGTTCTATATTGACTTATGTATATTCAGGAATGGATGCTTACGAAAAAATTCACCAATTGTAAGTATAATACGTTCTAGAATTTAAGTTTCTATATCATAAAGTATAAAAGGCATAAGAAAGTAAATAGAAATACTGTACTGTGCGCACAAAATAGCAAATAGTGATAGGCAATATAATTTGGGTTAGCATCAAACCATAATTTCGTGGATGAAAAATTAAAGACAAACAAATGTGAATTAAAAAGAAATGTGGCTTTCTCCGTGACTGCTACGCCTTACTGTTGAACAAAATCAACAAAAGTATCTTTGATAGTCGGTTTATTATTTCTGTTACTTTTGCAAGCTAATTTTTTGGGTAATAATTAGTGAACAAGCAATGTTCGAAAGAACTCAATATTTTATAGCAAAAGTAAAAAATTCTTTTCTGACCAATTTTCTCATATAATTTTATGTATCCGAATTTAAAATTCTTTTCTTAATCATATTATTTAATAGTGATATGTTACCGTTCCAAATAATCTTCATTTGCTGGATATCTATAATCATCACTTGTTTCGTATATTTTGAACTCAAATGGAATTATGATATAAATTTTAAACGGCCCTGTTCCAAAGATGAAACTATAAATGAGAAAAAAACTATGATACACTTTCATATTAGCATTGAAGATTATGAAAAATTGCCAAAGTTTACCTGGAAAGAATTTAATGAACGTGTTCATAGTGGTGTAAGTTTAATTAATTTATTCGAATTTTTTTATGATTATTATTAATTTATAAAATGATTATTATTTTAGGCTAATCTTGTTGTTTGTGATGGACATGTAATTGATGTTCACAAATGGATTGATTCTCATCCAGGTTAGAAAAATTTTTTTTTTATTTAATTATCTAAAAAAAATGATAAATTTATTTAACAATTAAATTTAACAAATTTAATAGGTGGAAGTCATATAATTAAAAGGGTTTGTAATGTTCAATTGTCACAATACGCGAAGCGAATTATAAATTATTGTTTTTCACACATAATAATAACACATAATAATAACACATAATAATAACACATAATAATAACACATAATAATAACACATAATAATAACAACATAAACTATTAGGTTATTGGGTCTGATATTACCAACGGTAAATTTCAAAGATTACAGTATTAATATATTTTTATTTAACTATACAAAAAAAAATCATTAATTCTTGCACATTCGGACTATAACGTATTTTTCACATACAGATTTTTACAATAAGCATCAAAACATTTCAATCACCGAAGAATTTGATGCACCAGAAACACCTTTATTATTAACCGAAGAGCCTTCCAAGAAAAATTCCATGATATCTAAATATATTTATCACCTTCAAGGGAAATCTACTCCTCAAAAAGAAAACACTTTTGCTACTTTTATTGATATTCTTAATTCAAAATATTATTTAAAAGCTCCCATTGCACAACATACTCATAGTAGGTTTGCAACTCAAACGATGGCTTCGATGGTTATAGCTAAAATTGAAGGAGTTGAAAAAGATTATGTATCAGATAGGTTTTCTATGGCAACATCCCTTGATAGTCCAATCAATTCATTATCTAGCGATGACGGTGAATTACCTTCTAATATGGAGCATATCAAATTTCATCGTTATAAGCTTACTAGTAAAGCGATGGTTAATGTAAATGATAAAATTCCTGTGATGAGATTTACATTCACCAAAATTTATCAATATAGTAATGATAATAATGAGAGATTTTATCCAGGAAGTTACATTGAATTATTTGCCAAAGTAAAAGGTCAGATGGTAACAAGAAAATATAGTCCATTAGAAGGCAAAATTTCAAAATCATTTTCGATTTATATTAAGATTTATCCGACTGGACTTTTATCTCGGCATTTGGTACGTATATATTTTAAATTACTTTTTTTTAAAAAAAAAAAAATCTTTTTTTTAACATTTCCTTATGATATTTCAGAATAAACAACTGTTAGGATATGAAGTTTTAGTCCGTGGTCCATTTGATCTCAAATTATCTCCTTATACTGGAATGTTACCATTTACTGTAAAAGGTTCCTTATTAAATCCGAATAGCCTTGATGGATGTTGGAATGAATTATACATGATTGCTGGTAAACTTTTTTTTTCATTCCTTCATTCCTTCTTAAATAAACCATAATAAATTTTTTGCTTATATGCATTTAGGAGGTACTGGTGTAACACCAATGTTGCAGGTAGTTAAAAATTATTCTAATAATATGCATCTTTATTTTTGCTAAAAAAAAATTTTTTTTATAATTCAATTAATATAATTATTGTATAATAGTTAATAAAGTACCATTTAGAACAATCATCAAAGCAAATTAACGAAGTTGATAATTATAAAAGGATGAATTTACTATATGCAAATGACACAGTTGAAGATATCATTGATGGCATATTGCTCGAAGATTTAGCACTCACGAGTCGTGGACAACTTACTGTCACATATTGTCTTTCAAATCCACCTGAAGAATGGAAAGGTTTAAGTGGAATAATTGATTTGAACTTATTATCAGAATGGCTATCTAAAATGGGATGTGATTTATCTTCATATTCACCTGAACAATATCAAAGTTCTTCAAATGTTGGAAATATTTTTCTTAGTAGTTCCGTACGCTATGTCGGATATAATGATATATATAATATCAAAGATGATCAAAAGAATTCAAAACGATCTTTTGTCTCCTCTCTGTCACAAATTAATGAAATTTTACATGAAACTCAGTCTTCGAAGAGAAGTTCAAAAACTTCTTTACAACTTAATGAAAATTTTCATGAAACTCAGTCTTCGAAGAGAAGTTCAAAAACTTCTTTACAACTTGACAGAGAAACAAGTGATGATTCTAATAATAAATTCACATTACAAAAAGGAGTATCTAAAAAAAATTCTCAACAATCGATAGACCTTAATACTCTTCCTTCAGCGTTACGGACAGGTGACTTACAATCATCCACTTCACGATCATCACCAGCAATTACCACTCCTGGGGATGACACGATAAATAATGAAAATGAATCTACATTTAAAGAAACTAGTCCTTCAGGAGAAATTAGTCCTTTATTTGATAAAAGCTCTGGAATTAACTTTTTGCATCGAAAAATTATTGTTTGCGGACCAAATGGAATGGTAAAAGTTGTAGAACATGCTTTGTATAATATGGGATACAACGAAAATGATATTATTTTATTATACAGTTAAAAACTTATCTATTCTAGTAAGTTAAGAATTCCCTTGTTTAATCAACTTAAACTACTTTGGTACTTTGGTGCCACAGCTCAATTATTAAGATCATTTCAAAGCTTATAAAATTAAGTGAAAATCATAAAACCTATCTCAATACACAAATATATACTAATTTTATATTTAACCCTAAAAGTTTAATTAGAAACAAAAAAATAGAAAAAAAATTTTTTTTTATAATATCAATTCGTCAAGTTAGTCTGTTCTTGACCGTTCTAATATTAGATTACTTTATGATAAACCAATTTATAATTCTAAAATCAATAATTTAATAATAATAATATTAATAATAATACACTAAAACATTAATCTCTATTAATGCACATCCATATGACGTTTATTAACTTAATCATTTATTAATTATTTACAATCTATATATTCGATTCCGCATCTAATCTGAAATCCAAATAAGAAAGCTTTTACTTAAATCAAAACTATAACTTTTATATTTATTACAAATGGGAACGGACTAGTATCCGAATCCAGGTGTTGGCCTGATACGCGTAACTTTTGTAGGACTATTTCGCTCTTTACAAGTAATCTGATTTATGTAAGTTGTGCTAGAGAAATTTTACTTTCTTTTGATAAAACGTTAAGATATAAGAACAAAAAACTTATGTCTAAAAAATAGGTTTAAAGCTAAAACAGTAAGTAATTTATAGAAATTAATAGTTAGAAAAAAAAATATACAACGGATGACAATCAGTAAACAAATATACAATATATATACTTGCCTTCTATTGTCTATTGTTATCATTATTCTCATTTTTGGATTCTATGATTTTCTTTAATTCTTCTATTCCAATTTTGGCATTTCGTTGCGATTCATAGAGTCTTCCACCAGATGAGGTTAATTGAATGACATTGGTCAGAGTACGATTTCTGTCATGTCATGTAAAATATACATTTGAATAATTAAATTCGATAAATACAATTTTATAATGCTTTATATATGAAGACGCGACTTAACATTGAATCTACAGCGTGAAGTATGCCTTGAAGTTCATAGAGGATTTGTGTTTCGTGGTCATTAACGGATACTGAAGTCATGATGTAAAAAATTGTCAGTTGAAAAATTTTAAGTTTTAATGATGAACTTATTTTATCGTGTTAAATTTCCAATTTCGTTGTCTACTTAATCAATTTCCGGTTTATATTAAAAAAAAATCGTCAGATTCACGTGGGTAACATTTATGCTAAAAATGATTGACGTCATAAGTTACATATCATACGCAGTTAATTATGTACACAACGTAATAAATGACCCTATAGTACTTCCATAAAAATGATACCCTCATGATTAAGACTCACCGTCCTACCAGTCTATTTCTTGAATAAGACCCGAGGGTATATTAATTTATTATTTTTTATATGAATAACCAAATATAATATTCAGTTTTACATAAAATACGCGCTTATTTGATCAAAAAACTTTTTATTATCGTATTATACATTTTAGGAAATTAACATTACTAAAACATTCAAAGTATTAAAAGAAAATTTAAAGTTCTTAACATAGTATTTTTTTAATCTATCCAGTCACAAAGTGCAATCGATTTTTGTATTTGTTTCTGGATTTAGAGATCCATGTTTCACAGTATCTATACCCGAACCTTTGGAGAACAGTCTTTCTGATGGTGCACTTGTTGCTGGTATATCGAGGTATCACGCGCCATAACCGAAACCATTGATATGTGTACATATTACGTACTACAGAACTGGTTAAATACCAGTCGATCTCATTTAGCTCATCCGTAGATTCGTGAAGTTTTTCAAAAACATGGTCAAGATAGCAATCACCAGAAATATTACTAACTATATCAATGTTATTATATTCATTATATACATCATTTAAGTACCCAGTTGCTCAAGTAATCCATCTCTTGTTCTACTTTTCTACTTTGTAATATTTTTTTTTCAACCTTGGATCCAATAAAGTTATTGCTTTTATTGAATTATTACATTTGACATAACTTTTTAAGCAATGTTTTATTAACATGTTTAAGACTTGCCTTGAATTGAACAATCTTTTTGATTAATAATTCTTGATTAGTTGGTTGTTGAAGTAATTGTTAAGAGTGAACATATGAATGGATTTTTGAGCAACCTAACTAGTTGGGTTGAAATAATTGATAAAAAAATATTAAATATTTTATTTATTGGTCGATTGCTAGCAATTTTCAATTTTTGATAATTTTTTTTTGTTTTTCAGTAAAATTAAAAGATGGGGTAATTAGTTAGACTTAACTTTTATAAATGATTTTTTTAGTCTTAAAGGTGCATCTAGAATATACTAATTATTTGATTATTAATATTATTAAGATTTAAAAGGATTATTAAAATTAAAATTTATTATTTTTAAAGACAAGTAAAAAGGTTCTATTTACAAAATCTAATTATATGATATATTATATTATTTTTTTTTTTAGTATTAAGATAATCTTTTTGGTTATATCTTTTTATTAGAAGGTTTTATTTTGAAATATAATAAGTATACAACTAGCCATATATATAATTTTTAGTCATCTATTTTAAGTACAGTCATCCCCCTCTATAATCAGACCTTCGGAATACAAAAAACCGTGATTATAGAGAGGTGTAATTAATATAAAGGTTACCTCTATATAGTTACAATTATATTACAAAATATAAAAAGTGATTGTATAGAGATTTTTATTTAATTATTAAATATATATTAAATACAATTACTGTATTTTATAATCGCATAACAGGGTTTACAACTTATAATTCCTACTTTAAATTAGTAAAATAATCAAGTTTCTAGCAATACTTGTTATTAATCTGACAATGCTTGTTATTTCCAGAAAAATAACAAGCACTACCAGGGAAATAGCAAATATTGCTAAAAACTTGTTTTTTTTTATTAATCAAAGTAGTGATTATGAGTTATAAAGCCCGTTATGATATTATATAATATTATAAATCTGATAATTTAATATATATGGGTTGATAATTAGTGATAGATCAGTTTGTCCTGGTCAGTCTTAGTCCCTGTAGGACCGATTTATAGCTGTTCTCATAAATTTTGGGACATCTGGTAAAAATTAACTAAATGATTATCAAATGATTATTTGGCCAATTCAATAAGTTGTTGATTCAGCAGTGCTTTTATTTGAGCTTGATTAATAATATAACGATAATTATATATATATTGTGAATGTATTCTAAATGGTACTACAATATCAACATATCCAAAATTAAGATTTTGCTTGAGTACATGTCTGTTCTTGCCAACCAACAGATCTTAACAAAAAAATATAAAAAGGGTTCTAAATATAAGATAAAAGGAGATACTAATAAAAAAAGAACTGATATGAACAAGAATTTATTGACTAAACTAAAGGAAATAGAACTCAAATTATATCTAACTTTGTCTGAAGTAATGGCAATTGAATCTAATATAATATTCAACTTAACTAAAGCGCAAAAATAAAATAGTGATATCAATATATATTATCTCTGTTATTATACAATATTATAAATCGCTTATTACCGAAATCAAAAACTTATCAAATTGGCCAAACTCATTCAGTAGTTTTTTTTACTAGATGTTCTAAAATTTTTATGTAAATAGCTGTAATAGTGTTAATTAGTCCAGTTGATCCATCTTCTTTTTTTAAGACTGTTGATGAACCAGAACCAGACTATTATGGACCGAGACTGAAAATTATTCAGTCCTCAGTTCAATTACAGTCCAGTTCTGGTCCTTACGAAGACTGATCTATCATTATTGATAACATGATATATAGCAAAAGAGGCTATTTTTTGTAACAATAATTCTTTATGTAACAAATTTTATTATTAAGCAAGTATATATTATATACATAATTATCTATAAAAAGATTGAAGCAAATTAACAGAGGAAAATGCAATGGCATGGGTCTTGTTGAACAATACAGAAAGATGAAGAAATTATACATTTATTTATTCTATTTAGAATGGTATGAAACTATAGTTAACAGGTAAAAGACACACTAAAGTACAAGAAAGATTCATGAAAAGTATTTAAAGGTAAATATTTGTGATTTTAAATATAATTTGCCGATTTGACCTACAATAAATGATTTTTTATATAGGCTGAATAAAATAATTAATCTGAATAAAATGATTTATGAAATGGTAAAATAGGTATTTATGTTCTTTATTGTGAACTAGTTTTCTGATTTTAATTCTAATAATAAATATTTTTTTTATGTTCAGAGCTGATTAAGGCGAATGAATTAATTTGTTATTTGTAGCATAACCATTTTCTATTTCACTTCTAAATGCATTTATAAGAAATGAATTTCAAATTTCAAGACAGAACTAAATCTCTAAAGAACTCTTTACTGATTACGTTGAACAATGAAGATTTTGATATAATTATTAGCATTGAAGATGCTTAATACATTAAAATCCTTTATACATATTTATTAATCCTAAAACAGAGATCTTTATATTATTTGAAGAGTACTATAGAATTATTTATGTTCTTGATTTATAAACTAGTTTGCTAAATTTAATTCAGATGGTTAATAAATAATCTTTATGTTTAGAGCTAAATGAAATAATTAATACAAATGAAACAATTCGAAAGGTTAGCAAGTCAAAAATGATATTTTTTACTTTAGAATTTTAGTTTATTTGTACTATTTTACATACTAGCTTTCAATTTAAATAATGCATTAAAAGAAAAAAAAACTTTTGTAAAAATTTAGTTTTTAGATAAATCAATGTTTAAGTAGAAGTTAGAATTAGAGTTTAGAAACTGAATTATTTTTTATTAAATTGTTAAATTGAAATCTGAATTACAATAAAGTATGCCTTATAGTGGTTAAAAAAAGGAAAGAAAAAAAAAATCCAAATTATTCCAACAATCACATTATTGGTTAAATTCAACAATAAAGTAAATGCCAAATTGAATATTATTGTATGTACATATATTTGTACATTCATACCAGATATATATACTCTGTAACAAAAACATTCAATTTCTAAAAATACTTTGTTCTCTATGTATTTTTTGTTACAGATTATATATATTCGTCTCTCTTTTTCCCATTAATTTTAACCCTTAACCAGAAGTCCACTTGGCAGAATAATTATATTTTTCTCAAAACTTAAAGCCTCTTTGAACAGTGATTTACCTAATCTATTCCCCATATGACTAGCTTATTAATACCTTCAGTCCCAGTTCCAAAAACAATCCTTAGTGCTTTGAAAATTTACTATTTATTTGTTAGCAAATGACTTAAATTATAATCAATAAAGTCAAATTATGTAATATATCTTTTTTAAAATTTAGCTGCTTACTTTGACTATAATGATAACAGCTTGTACTAGTTTTAAGACTAGTACCACGGGACTAGTTACCCTTATTTGGCCTTACCAGAACCGATCACTTCCTATTTAATTTAGAATGATAAAAAAAATATAAATTAAATTCTAAAAAGTTAATACTTAAAATGCATTATACAGTAATGCAAGAATTATAATAAAATTTGCATAAAATTTTTCTTGCAGTAACTAATTGAGGAAAAGTGGCAGTAGTAGCGAGCATCAGTATAATATTGAACCCTGGATCTTGACCTGAGTTTTCAGATATGGGTAAGATTCTAAATCACAAAAGCCTGTGAACTAAGTTAGTATTGATATGCAACCTAATAATAAAAAATTTGTCAATTTGGGTTATCATAAGTAGCAATGACAATACATTTGCATCTTATTAGTTATACATATGTATGTACGTATAAATCAAATATAAAAAAGTTCTAATAATTTAGCCTTTTAATCCAAGTTCAAAGCAAACATAAATGCTAATACTATATTTTGAAGGTACAGATGTGTTATCATAAGCTGTTAACCATTTTAAGTTTTTTTTTTTTTTTTTTTTTAATAATAAAAGAGCATGTTGAAAGTTCAAAGGAATTATCATATCTTCTATAGTATTTTACAAATTTTTTAAACCCATTTTGTTAGATTAGAACAAATATTATAAATCCACCAACTCTATAATCATTGTTAGTATTATGCCTCCTAAGTCTGTACTC